TGACATTGGGCGAATTCACTGACGTACACCTTTTTAATAGCATCACCAACCCGTAACTGGATTAAGGACGGGCGAGCAAAGAATTGTAAGATTGTGGAAATGAAACCTACTTAAAATTCGTAGGTAGGTGTTTATTCATATGGTTAACTTAAAAAGCCAGTTTGCCTAATAAGTTGACTTAGGCGGATATTGTTCATGTTAGGCTTCCGAGGACCCCTCTGCAGTTCAATGTTATCACCAATTCTGTACTGGACCAATGGCGGGCGCGCGAAAATGTGGAAGATTGTGGAGCATTCGTCCTACTTAAAATGTTTAAGTATGTGGTTATTGGCTTTCTAAGCACTCGTCCGTAGTTCCCTTCCGATTGCTGTCCTTCAACTGCTTTCACAGTTTGCTTGCTTGGGGCAAAATATTTTCAAGGAAAGATGAAGAAGACCAGAACTTACTGCGCCTGGATGAGGGAAAACCCAGAAAATGAGTCCAAAGAAGAAACCAACGGCAGCCCAACGTTTGACGGCCCGCATGGTGTCTGCCTGCTTCGGGAGGCCAGGTATTTTGCTTTTCTTGCCCGCATATCCTACGGTGCCCTGGGCGAAGGCAGTTGCATAGGCCAATCCAAAGCAAATAATAGACAGCAGATTATCAATGCTGCATGCAGCCATTGTAATTGTGGGAACACCATGGCCCACTCCCAAGCCGGCCTCTTCTAGACGCCTCATATTAGGCCCCAGAACATCCGGAGAAACCCCGGCCAGGATGAACCTAGGAGGAATATCAACGGGCAACTGCAGTTTCCTGTAGAACAGCACATATACCTCTGGTTCCAGCACTTTTTCCCAGGGAAGGAGTGGTTATAGGGGTCTTTGGATGGAAAGTTAGGACAGCTTGTGGAATATACTTTTATTTTATTGTACCTAAAGTTGCTGTTGATTTATGTCTGTATATTTTCATAATATGTATTATCGTTTAACGTATTGTGGAAAAAAACACTTTTATTAAAATACAGGTTCCTTGAAATTCCCGAAAAAAAA